CTTCCGAAGTTCCTTTGTTATTTTGGAGTCTTTCTGTCCTCTGAATGAGACTCTTGTCAGCTCGGATTTTTGAGCACTTTTGGTCCTAATTTGTGCAGGGAGTATCAGTCATTGAGCATTAAAACTTATTTATATGTGTAGAAAACCTTTTTCTCCAGGCGAATTGACAGATTTCGTAAGAATCTGCTGTAATGCATATGAACCTTTTGGTGATTCTGTTTTTCATGGAGTCTTCATGGCTTTAGACTGAAGAAGAGTAGGTTCAGTTGGGAAGAAATTGTTCCCTGTGAGGGTGCTGAGGCACTGGCACAGGTTACCCAGAGAAGCTGTGGCTGCTCCATGCCTGGGAGTGTTCCAGGCCAGGTTGGATGGGGCTTGGAGCAACCTGGGCTGGTGGGACGTGTCCCTGCTCATGGCAGGGTGGAATGAGATGGTCTTTAAGGTCCCTTCCAACCCAACCCATTCTATGATTCTAGGAGTCTTTCCACTGTTTCCAAATCCCTAAAACTGCTAGAAAGCAAAGTGTATTATCAACAAAGAGGAAAGCCTGGAGTAGTGTTTATGGAACTCTCAGCGTGATCAAAGGGAAATGATATGTGATTAAGTTCCATAACAATATGTTATTTTGTGCGATAAATGGGAATGAACTCACACTGCAGGTCGCAGCATGATATCCTTTGCTTTCCATGGTGCAACTGTGTCTTCCTTCTGGGAAGGCAACACCAGCAAATGGAGCTAAGTCTCCAAGAGGTTTAATTACAATTAAGCTTCAGTGTGAGGTCTGGCTTAATGTGGAAGATACTCTGGGTGTCACAGGGCAGGGAGTGCTTAATGAGGCCTATTAATAACACCTTGGCATTCTTCTTTCAGCAATTGCCCTTTGTGGCTAATGAGGTGGAGAACCCAATAAAGAATTAGCCATGCACTTCTCAATCTCTCCAAGGTGATTATGAATTCTGTGGGTCAAGTGGCAAAAGAAAGGAGCTCAGGGTGGAGGATGAGGAGGAGGGAGGCAGGAGGGTAACAGTACCTGTGGCTCACTCACCAGGTGTGACTTCTGAGAAAAATGACACACTCAACTGGCCAGAAACCAGAAACCAGCTGGAGAAGACTCCAGCAGCCCCACGGACACTGAGGGTAAAGTATCCATTAGTTCCCTTTTTTTCTCCATTTTTTTTCCTTTCTTCCCCTTATTTTTCCTTTTTCATCATTCTTTAATTTCCCTTGGATGGCATTCACTTCCTGGGAACTGGCTGAGGGCAGAAGTTCACATTCCCTTGATTCTTATCCTTTCCAGTGACATCTATCAGCTGCCAAGACTTGCATGGTTGTCTGGTTGTCACAGCTCCCATTTTGAGCCTCAGCTACCATTCCTGTGGTGGAACACAGTAAAAATTTTGGGATTTATGAATTTCCAGTTTCCCAAATGTGTATGATGCTCAGCACCAGCCGTGGGGGTGGACATGGCCCCAGGTGGGTACTGACCCCCAGCGGCAGATGTGCTTTCCTGCCTCTCCTCTGGTGGGTGTTGCAGACCAATCCTGTCCTGTATCCTAAGACATTCCTAACTGTTGAAACAGCCTTTGACTGGAGAGTGTTTTCTTTCTTGGTCAACCATGACAATACAAATAAACAGGGAAGTTTGTGAGCTGCTTTAGCCGTGGTGGGAGACAAGGAAATAGGCAAAACATCAAGAAATTGAATTTGGATAACTCATAGAAATATGTAGTTCAAAACATATAAATGTATAAACTTATAAGACAAGGGGGAATGGCTTCACATGGGCAGAGGGCAGGGTGAGGTGGGATATTGGGAAGGAATTCCTCCCTGTGAGGTGCTGAGGCACTGGCACAGGTTGCCCAGAGCAGCTGTGGCTGCTCCATCCCTGGGAGTGTTCCAGGCCAGGTTGGATGGGGCTTGGAGCAACCTGGGCTGGTGGGAGGGGTCCCTGCCCATGGCAAGGGAGTTGGATTGAAATGGTCTTTAAGGTCCCTTTCAACCCAAACCAGTCTATGATTCCTTATACTGTGGAAAGGTTTGGAAATGCAGCCCCTAATTGTTACCTTAAATCTTGTTTCAAATATGGTCACACATGGACATGTCCCATTCCTGGCAGTGTTCAAGGCCAGGCTGGATGGGGCTTGGAGCTACCTGGACTAGTGGAAGGTGTCTTTTCCCATGGCAGGAGGATGGAACAAAATGGTCTTTAAGGTCCCTTCCAACCCAAACTATTCTATGCATCATTTTCATTGACGATCTCTTCCTGACCCCAGTTTGATGCCTCTCACATGTTTTTCTTCTTTTGAATTATGTTCGGATAAACTCTGTGTTTCATTTAGGAAGCCCTAGAAATCCACAATCCTCAGTTCATCTCTCGCTCCCAAGAAAGGCTGAGGAGGCTTGAGCAGATGGTGCAGCTGAGGAAAGCCCAGCAGAGCGACATTCCTCTGAGCCACCCAGGAGCACTTGTTCGCAAGCTTTCCTCAGCATCCACTTCCAGCAAGAAAAAGCAGTACACCATTCCTGACCCTCTCAGTGGTGAGTTGAACTAGGACCAGAACCAGGTCTGTAGCTGCCCTTGAAATCTTGCCAGGTGTATAGTTTTTCCATATTAACTTGGGGAAAGAACAAGGCCTGCTGTTCCTGTCTGACCCCTCAGCATTCCAGTTGTCCAGATGCTCACAGCAGAGAGGTTCTGGAGCACAGAGGTGGGTTAGTGGGGATGAGGAGTTGTCTGTGGCCTGGGGCAGTGGGAGAAGGCCTCCTTGGGGACTTTCTGTCATTATCACATGCAGTTGTGTTCTTCAGCATGAAGCAAGTTGCTGCTAGTTGTGGAGGTGATCGCCATGAATGGCATTTCATCCCACTCACAGCTCACAGGATGACCAATTTGAGGAGAGGGGTGACAGAGAGGAGACAAGTGGGATTTGGGAATAGAATCCAGTCTTCCCAGCAGCCTCGGGTATGGAATTGCCACTCGACTGAGAAAGCCCTTGGGCTGTGCAAGCTCCCCAGCAGCTGTGTGTGAGACTGCTGAATCATGGCATCTCAACTCTGCAATTTCCTCAGAGCATTTCATCCCTCTCACAGGATGAAAGTCTGAGGAGAGAAGTGACAGGTGGGATTTGGGAGTAGAAGCTCCAGTCTGATCTTCTCAGCAGCTTCTGGTGTGGATTTGCCACTTGACTGAGGAAGCCCTTGGGCTGTGCAAGAGGACTTGCCTGCCCAGCAGCAGTGTGTGAGGCTGTTGAATTAGGGCATCTAAACTCTGTGATTTCCTAATTCAAGTTGATTAGGTTGTTTTATTAACCTAGTGATAAACAGCGTCAACACCCAGAGAGTTAAAAGTTCTCTCTGGTACTCCCTCACAGCTCCTTCCCTGTTGCACCTCTGTAAATATTATCTAAGCACAAGATGTTAAACAAATTGCTTTTCTTTTTATTTCCTTTTTTATTGCCATCTGGATGTTAATTAATTCAGTTGACTAAAGAAAGAGATTTATTTGATTGGCATTCCTCTTTACGTCTTGCTTTTAAATATGTGGCTGTCTGAAGATACATTATTCTACTGAAAAGTAAATCAGTTGGAAATGTTAAACAACTAAAAGGGACACCTGGAGGAAGCAGGAAAGGGAATATTTGATGTCCTCAACACTGGGAAACACATCTATGTTTTTGCCTGCCTTGGGAATGAGAGTGGGTGCAGGAATGGTGGGTGCAACCCTTTTGGGGCTTGGTCAAGGGGATCTTGGGGGTCTTGGCCATGCTTTGCTTTGGGGAGCACCAACTGCTGAGGCTGAGACAGGCTGAGAGAGTTGGGGCTGTTCCACCTGGAGAAGAGAAGGTTGTGACCCCACGGCATAACAACCATCCAGGATTTCAGGGAGCTCCAGGGACGCTGCAGAG